AAAAACGCTCGCTCGTCTGTGCGATATCGTCAACTCAATTCAAATTTGTCTTCACGTAAAAGTTTGAAGAGCCATGTATTTTTAATTTAACGTCAGTAGTTGCACGATAGAGAATTTAATATCGTTTCAAAAAAAATTCAAATCTATTGAAAATGTTCCGAAGATCTGCCGCTGTTTTAATAGTCGAAAGCGAAAGAGAGCATTTAGCCGAGATTCGGCGTCGTCGAAGTTTGCGGGATAGCTCCAATCCATTGTCGCTTCCAGAGAAAAGGTACATATCGATGGCCCTGTGCAATAACGACACAATTCAAAATTCAAAAAAGAAAAACTGTTACTACTATTAAGTGGCTCTTGTCTCTAATCCTTGTCTAATACATTTCCATCATTTGCTTTTATGTGTTCGTAGTTTCCTGGCAACCAGTAAGGGTTGAATTTTGTTGAAATTTATACATTTATCCACCAAAATCGTTTGATAAAGTGATACACTTTGGTTAAATAGATTTCCATGCAAAGTTTGACAGTTCATTTATCAAAATGATAAATTTATCACTTTATCACTTATGATGAAGACCCCTATTATATGTACTACTTAGTATGCACTTCCCTGCCAGGCACGGCTCACCACTTTCCTCTGAAATTCAAACGATCTACAAACACATTCAAAACTCTTTAGTCATCTCACCCACACACTTACAAATTTTTTGTTCGACCTGTCAAAAAAATTTCCCTTTGTTAGAGCTACATACCCGATAAGAATTCGTACTCTAATAAGAATTCTATGCGTTAGAGCGAGCAAGTTAGAAACATCAGGGTTTTGATGACAGTATACATACTGTGAAGAAAATTCACTTTGCGAAAATTTTGAAGGTAAGAATACGTACTTAAAATTTTATTTGATTATAATGTAATTTCTTCTTTTAGATTGCAAAACAGCAGCGACTTAGTCACATTCTTGAGGTATATATTGAGACTTTTTATATGTTTATAAATTTTAATTGATATTTTTGTTTATTTCCAGATTTGGGATTCACCATCAGCACCTTCAACGCTTGCATCTTCATCGCCAGGAGCACCATCAGAACCTTCTGCCCTTAGCTTCTTCCTCGCCAGGAGCACCACCAGTACCTTCTGCCCTCAGCTCCTTCATTGCCATGAGCAGCATCAGTACCTTCCGCCCGCAGCACCTTCAACGTTAGGAGCACCTTCAAAGTATAGCTCAAACTTGTAAAATTTTGCAAAGTTGTAAGAAAACTTAATTTTTGTGAACCTCCATAAATGATTTGCAACTGTTAATATATATCAAAAGAAAGGTAAACCGATTACCTTTCTTTTGATTATAACACCGTTAAAATGGCTTTACGTTTTCATAAAAATATTGCAACTTTTGTAAACAGCTATATGTAGGCAGTGAAAAAGTGGTCAAATTTTGCAAAGTTATAAGAAAAGTGAATTTTTGTAAAGCACTTAAAATATTTTTTAACTACTAGTATATATCAAAACAAAGGTAAATCGATTACCATTCTTTTGATGATAATATTGTTAAAATCGATTAACTCCTTTATCGAAATTTTGCAACTTTCGAAAACATCTATATGTAAGAAGTGAAAAAGTCGTCAAACTTTGCAAAGTTGTAACAAAAATGGTTTTTTGTGAACTAGTTTAAATGATTTGCAAATGTTAATAAATATCAAAACAAAGGTTAATCGATTACCTTTCTTTTGATTATGATATTATTAAAATCGCTTAACTTTTTTATAGAAATTTTGCAACTTTTCAAAACAGCAAAGGATTAGTAGTAATAATAATCAATTAAGCAACCAGATATGTAGATATGTATTAAAAATTATCTTTATTATTAATGTTAATTATAATTTTTATTCATTATTTATTTATTTTGGAAATTGTAAATTAGGCTACATTGATTTGCTTATACTTCACTATTCTCTACCTATTACCGGGGTTTACACAGTACAAGTAATGCATTAAATTCTGCTTGCTAGTGGAAGAGAGGGGTTGAGAAGAAAAGGGAAGAGTACATTTAGCGTGCTTTTTTGCAACTCTTGTTTTTTTTCACTCCTACCTCAAAGGTTTGTGGAAAACACCTAAAGAAAAACTCCCTGAAAATTTAAACCCTTAATATTAACATTAAGTACTCGCCCAAGGCGTGCAAAGATTTACCATATAAAGTACACGTAAACTTTGATTTTTTTTTGCAAAACTCTACAGCTCAAATTTTATGCTATAATTATGGTCAATGATGGATTTTCTTCAGAATTGAATGCTGTACGAAAATGTCCATTGCGGCGTAACTCTAAAAAGGTGTTCGCACGCGGCGATTTTGCCTTCAACTTTTGCGTTCAACTCACGCAGAGTTGCACGAAAAAAAAAGTTGAATGGCTAAATGTTGGCATGCGACCAACTTTGTTGAAAGCGATTAGTTGAAAGGCCGTTCAACCAAAAGTAGATTGCAAAGTTTAACAATGCAAACGCCTTTTTATGGGGAATATTTTGATATATTTTGGTATTTTTCGCCACTAAATTTTTTTTTTCGTGCAACGCTGCGTGAGTTGAACGCAAAAGTTGCCAGAAATATCACCTTGTGCGCAAGCTCTATAACTCCCACCAGCGAGTTAGTACGGGTCACCAAACCCAATATTTTGATAAAATTCCAATTTTTTTGCCCCTAACAAGAGCTACAGAAAAAATGTGTATGTCAAATTTGTAGGAATTTCAATTTCAGTACACCAAATTGCTAATATCGATATTTCTGAGATATAGGGCTTTGAAGTTGGTCAACAATTTCTACAATTTAGCTCAATAGTCAATGAAAATTCCACACTACCTCAACTTCAAAGCCGAATATCTCAAGATATATCGATGTAAGTGTTTTGGTGTACTAGAACCTTTTTTGTATAAAAAGAAGTTTTTCATTCGCAGTTTTTCTGTAGCTCTTGTTATTTACGAGATTGGGGCAAAAAACGGGAATTTAATCAAACCCGTACTAACTCGCTGGTGGGAGTTAGAGTTACGCCACAATGGACAGTTTTGTAAAACATTCAATTCTGAAGAAAATCCGTCACTGACAATAATTATACCATAAAATGCCTCTGAGCTGTAGAATTAAAAAAAATCAAAGTCATGCGTGTTTTTTATATGGGAAATCTTTGCACGCTTGGGACGAGTACTTAATGTTAATATTAAGGGTTCATATTTTCAGGTAGTTTTTTTTAGGTGTGTTCCACAACATTTCGAGGAAGGATTGAAAAAAAACAATAATCGCATATGCCTCAAGTGGTTTCAAGTTTCTTGATTTGCTTTTGACATTTTCGCAAATAGAAAACACAAACGAGAATGAACCAGATTTGCTTTAAAGAACTTGTATCATGTAAATCCGGTATAATTAAATTTGAAAACAACTAATTTTAATTTCTTGTTGGAACCATACTATGGCGTTAGCGACTCTGCGTCGATGGAAGAAACTATTGATATAAGCCAGGGGTAGTAAAATTTTGGAGATTCTTGTATCGAAGAGAAGGAACAAAGTTACTGAAAATCGCTATATAACAATTAGATAATTCATCAGGAACTAAACACAACTAAAAAGTTTATATAAATAGCTTCGAAAATGCATTTTAAAATTATCCGATAGTATCGATAGTTTCAATGCAAACTATCGAAAACATCGCATGTGATGACTATCGATAGTTTTACAGGTCTACTACCCTGCAGGAAGCCTGACCTATGAATATCTGTTAAATGAGTGGGAAAACTGACTAAAACTTTTCGTCAGTTTAGCGGTTAGTTTTGTATGGGCTTGGGGAAAAAGGTGACCACTTCTCCGGCCGTGTGATAGTGCACCCCTTTCTTGCACACACATAGGCGCATTTGCCTTACAATATGTTCACTCGCTCGCACATAGGGACTCGAATTTCTATACGATACGATAACACATTGATATTTTTGCCATTCGATGCCGATACTTTTTACTCGATAGTTTTTAAACGATATATTTTGGAATCGAGTACCAGGGCTCTAATCGGTAATACCATGTTCTGACCGACATCGAAAACATGTTTTCGTTGCTAAACTGGTTTTCGACCTAAAACTTGTGTTTTCGTCTCTGTAAAATCTGTCAAACGAAAACCAGTTTTCGCTAAAAACTACTTGAAAACTCACGTTCCACTCATTCCAATCGGTATCTTTACTAGTTTTTTCGATTATTTATCGAAGTGGAAGTCATATTTTGTCACCTTGGCTGGTCAAAGTGAAATAGGAATTAAAATAAGAGGTTGCTAATGAAAAGAAAATGAGGGAAAAGCATTTTGGTTTTTGTGTAGCAAAAATGTAACCAGAAGATGCAAGAAATATTCATGATGCAATAATACAAGGCGGTATCAATTGTGACAGCTCGATTTGACACTGCCTTAGGTCAGTAGAATGAGAAGAAAAACGGGAAGAAATGAATCCCCATATAGGGGAAAAATATAAAATTTCACATTTTCTCCTAAACAAAATTTGCTTTTTAATAGTATATTCGTTATGAAATGAAATAAAATACGATAAAATACCTTTTTAAGAAAACAAAGTGTGTATACTGAGAAAAAATTAAAAAACATTCAACTATATTAATGGGCAAAGAATAGTCAAAGAAGTAACACTGTTTCACGTAAGGCAGTCAATATGGCGGAATTAGAGCGAGAAGTTGCCAACTGATAACACCTTATATTATTATTGAAGTGTACACAATTTTGACAGTTAAAACTCATCCTCACACATGCTGAATCGCAAAATGAGGAAGTGTACACAGCTAAAACTCATTCTCACCCTTCTTGAATCGCAAAATGAAGAGTGCACACAATTTTCAGTGTACACTTGAAAAATCACAGTTACAGAATAGAGCCCCAGAACTATTGTATCGTATCGAATCGTAAATGTACATTACAAAGTTAATGGGAATAATGATATATTGTATTGGACATTTGCAATCTTGCGTGGCATGACCTTTGTATGACAAAATGTAAGAAAATAAAATGAAACGTCAAAATTTAAAAACTGAGAATTGGGCAAAACTATTTGTATAAAACTTTTTTAGTAATATTTGAAATATTTAAGGTTAATTTTCCGAATTAAAAAATGTAATAATCTGTCCTGCTTTTTCTATCAGCCGAAGTATCAGACGTGACGTTACCTTACTAAAATTTCTATTGAAATTTATTGTTAATATTGTTTTTAAACAAATTTTTAACGCAAATAAATCATGAGTTTTAGCCTTAGCTAGTGTTCCATTTCTTGCAAATCGTACTATATCCTTCTTACTTACTTTGGAATATATATGTTAAGCAATATGGATATATTTTGCGCTTTAAAGCGCAGAAATATTTACTATCTTAGGTTGCAATGTGGCGCGCCTTCGGTGATGTACTTATTAAAGTGCAACGTGTTAATTCTTTATTAAAAAAGGGGGCCAATATTCGGATTTAATTTTCTCAATTTTGTATCGATATTTGGAATATCCAGTCTTTTTATTACTATATTAATGGGTACCTGATATTTTTACTAGAGCTGTAAAAGTAAAGAAAATTCGGATACCCGTATGTGTGGTAGTGAGTATATCAAGGATTTAAAGAAATTCCATTTAATATTGTATAAAATTCGGTTGTTAACAGTTGCAAGAAAAATGTTTGAATAATAATGAAAATTTTCTGTTTGATTGACGAACCACAAAAATCACATAAATCTAAAATTTCCAAAATTACAAAGTTGAAATGAACACAGTACAGTAAAAGGTAATAACACAAATACAACCCCTTCTAGAGAATTAATGTTATATAAATTAAAAGTAACTCGTTTCTTATTTGATGTTGTGTTATTCATTGTATTAGGGTTTGTTTCTGGTATTAGTTCTGTTTCAATGATTGCTGGTTTTAGTCTGTCTATCGGAATTGTTTTAACCTCATTATCTACTTCAAGTTTGAAATATTTTTTGTTTTTTTCAACAACCTTATAAGGTCCTTCGTATGGTTGTTGCAATGATCTTTTATTAATAACACGCATAAAAACAAATTTACAAGTCTCCAAATCCTTTGGTATATATACACCAGGGTATGCATCACGGATGTCGATAATCGTGCGACGTTATCGTG